ATATATATATATATATATATATATGTATATATATATATCTGAATCCGGAATGTGCCAAACAAATCATGGTATAATGATTTTTATCAAAAAGAAATGCGTTCCATGATTTGCACGTGGGCGAAATACTGCCAGGTTGCCCAGGCTGAGGCAGGTGAATTTGTTTGAGGTATCCACAACCGAAGCCTTTGGATATAGCCAAAGCCTAACCCGCGGTGTGTGTGTGTGTGTGTGTGTGTGTGTGTGTGTGTGTGTGTGTGTGTGTGTGTGNNGAGCCGATGTTCAGTTCATCGGACGGGGTCAACCGTCCAAGGTGCCCAATTGAACCGATGACCACCACCATAACCGCCTCCTCATGGTTGGTTTGGAATCAGGGCTTTTGACCAACTCCCCTAGGTGAACTACCAGTGGTCCACCAACCCGGTTATAGCCCCGGATGTCGGCTTTTCGTCCTCTCACTTTGGTGCAAAAGCACCTCCGCCATGGGAAGGCAGTGAGTAGAGCTTCCTAAGCAGAGGCTGTTTGTGACGCTTGGTAGTATGGGAGCACTTCTCGAGGTGCAAGGGAAGGGTGACCAGCCGCAACCCTAGGCACCCACCCCCGACCACACTGAGGCTGTTGGAGGGACTAGGCATGTATGAGTAAGATCAACTAATCTGAGCGAAATATAACCGAACTGAGCACATCCCAAACTATGTACGTATGTACGACTCCATCATACGGGTCAACCTCATTGATCCCTAGTTCAACATTGGTTATCATAATTTCTAATGCAACCTTTATCATCCTGTTCTATTCATTTTTATTTCAGCTGCCCGGCTATCAGTCGGATAGTGGTGCGCGAAGTTCCACCGCAGAATGTCGACATCTGTTGACTGCAGGTGCCGGAGATGCTAGAATTTGTCTGGTCGATTGTTCCCGAGCCGAAGCACACGACCCAAGCTTAGGTGGCAGTAGACCTGTTCAAACGGGTCACGTGATTCGGTCCATGTCAGGTCATACGGGCCCGGTGTACGCGTTAGCCGTATGGAGTCCCGGTTCCTTGTTCGTGTCGGGCAGTGCAGATGCGACTGCTCGTCTGTGGGATCTGCGTGCTCCCGCACCTGTACTAATTGTACCATCCTATTCGGGTAATCAGGGTGAGTCTTTGCGCTTTTGATCACCAATAATATGCATCCATTGATGTGTGTGTGTGTGTGGAGAAGGCCTACTTTCAAACACTCCTATGATTTGGGTAGCTCTACTGTCGCCTAGTGTAATATACCTTGAGTCAATTTAGAGTATCAAGCTTGGATTAGCCTTCGTCGATTGTTCAGAGGCACCAGGCACTCTTGATTGTCTTGGGCTTGTGGGTTTCACTCCTTTGGGGAGGTCGTTAATTCCCCACGAGATAATGCATTCAAATGCGATAGAAATATTCTGTGATAATCGACAAAGAGCACTGGACAACTATTTCGTCCTGTAATTGGGACTTATCAGCAATGTGCGTACTTTTTGTGTCCCCGTGTCAGGACTCGAACCGCGATCAGTCGGGTCGGGACTTCAAACCCTTACCCCT